TTACAACACCATGTCATAACAATGACAATAAAAGGTATTTTTTACAACGGTGTGATAACACTGACAAAAGTGTCATAACATCAGGGTGCCAATTACAGGGGGGGGGGCAGATTTAGCTCCCCTAAATTTAGAGATTTAGCTCCCCTAAATCTCTAAATACTACTATTTTAACCATTCTCCTATTTGTTTAAAATGCAGTGGTAAATATGTTTTACAGTGGTAAATATTGAAATAAAAGCTTCCAAATGAAACGAACACCCCCACCTCTCTGTCATGGTTTAAACCATTTATTTCTATGTGGCTGCACAAACCATCTCTCTGTCCACTCAGTAGTGCTGAACTTCGGCCTCAGCTGAGCTCCTTTAAACGCATCGATCTTCCTTTGTAGGCTACTTGCTCAAAGGAAGATTTGTTTGCCATGCTCCCTTGATAAAAAGCCTTTATTCCAATGCATTACATTTATCCATTGATTTATCATTGTTTGCTGTCAACTGTTTAGAGCGCTCATTGTTTTGTTTTTCAGGTGCACGTGGGTATTGGTGTTCTGTGTGCCGTCCATGGCCCGAAGTAGTAGACCATTTATTTCACTTTACAATTTTCTACCAATAATCTACCAATAAATCTTTGCCATAGTTGGGCTTGTTCCAACACTTGTTCCTGGAAGTGTCCTTAATAAACACTATACAGCGCATTCTGAAAGTATTCAGACCCCTAGACTTTTTACACTTTGTTACGTTACAGCCTTATTCTAAAATATATTTTTACCCTCATCAATCTACACACAATACCCCATGATGACAAAGCAAAAACTGGTTTTTAGATATTTTTGCAAATGTATTACAAACAAAAAACTGCCTTTGGCAGTGATTACAGCCTCAAGTCTTCTTGGGTATGACGCTACAAGCTTGGCACACCTGTATTTGGGGAGTTTCTCCCATTCTTCTCTGCAGATCCTCTCAAGCTCTGTCAGGTTGGATGGGGAGCGTCGCTGCACAACTATTTTCAGGTCTTTCCAGAGATGTTAGATCGGGTTCAAGTCCGGGCCACTCAAGGACATTCAGAGACTTATCCCGAAGCCACTCCTGCGTTGTCTTGGCTGTGTGCTTAAGGTCGTTGTCCTGTTGGAAGGTGAACCTTTGCCCCAGTCTGAGGTACTGAACGCTCTGGAACAGGTTTCAATCAAGGATCTCTCTGTACTTTGCTCCGTTCATCTTTCCCTCAATCCTGACTAGTCTCCCAGTCCCTGACGCTAAAAAACATCCCCACAGCATGATGCTGCCACCACCATGCTTCATCGTAGGGATGGTGCCAGGTTTCCTCCAGATGTGACGCTTGGCATTCAGGCCAAAGAGTTCAATCTTGGTTTCATCAGACCAGAGAATCTTGTTTCTCTGGTCCAAACGGGCTGTCATGTGCCTTTTACTGAGGAGTGTCTTCCGTCTGGCCACTCTACTATAAAGGCCTGATTGGTGGAGTGCTGCGGAGATGGTCGAGTGACCATCGGGTTATTGGTCACCACCCTGACCAAGGCCTTTCTCCCCCGATTGCTCAGTTTGGCCGGGCGGCCAGCTCTAGGAAGAGTGTTGGTGGCTCCAAACTACTTCCATTTAAGAATGATGGAGGCCACTGTGTTCTTGGGGACCTTCAATGCTACAGACATTTTTTGGTACCCTTCCCCAGATCTGTGCCTCGACACAATCCTGTCTCAGAGCTCTACGGACAATTCCTTTGACCTCATGGCTTGGATTTTGCACTGTCAACTGTGGGACCTTATATAGAGAGGTGTGTGCCTTCCCAAATCATGTCCAATCAATTGGAGGTGGACTCCAATCAAGTTGTAGAAACATCTCAAAGATGATCAATGGAAACAGGATGCACCTGAGCTCAATTTCAAGTCTCATAGCAAAGGGTCTGAATACTTATGTAAATAAGGTTTGCTTTTTATTTGTAATACATTTGCAAACATTTCAAAAAACCTGTTTTCGCTTTGTCATTATGGGGTATTGTGTGTAGATTGATGAAAAAAATTATATTTTAATCCATTTTACAATAAGGCTGTAACGTAACAAAATCTGGAAAAAGTCAAGGGGACTGACTGAATACTTTCCAAATGCACTGTATATACACAAAAGTATGTGGACACCCCTTCAAATTAGTGGATTCGGCCATTTCAGCCACACCCGTTGCTTACAGGTGTATATAATCTAGCCATGCAATCTCTATACACAAACATTTTCAGTAGAATTGCCTTACTGAAGAGCTCAGTGACTTTCAACATGGCACCGTCATAGGATGCCACCTTTCCAACAAGTCAGATTTCTGGCCTGCAAGAGCTGCCCCGGTCAACTGTAAGTGCTGTTATTGTGAAGTGGAAACATCTAGGAGCAACAAAGGCTCAGCTGCTAAGTGGTAGGCCACACAAGCTCACAGAACGGGACCGCCGAGTGCTGAAGCGTGTAGTGCGTAAAAGTCGTCTGTCCTCGGTTGCAACACTCACTACGAGTTCCAAACTGCCTCTGGAAGCAACGTCAGCACAATAACTGTTTTTCGGGAGTTTCATGGCCGAGCAGCTGCACACAAGCCTAAGATGACCATGCGCAATGCCAAGCATCGGCTGGAGTGATGTTAGGCTAGCCGCCATTGGACTCTGGAGCAGTGGAAATGCGTTCTCTGGAGTGATGAATCACGCTTCACCATACTTTTGGTCATGTAGAGTACCTCATGGTGCTTTCAAGACAACTGGGAACTTGGGAAAAAACGAGGTCAAATCATGACGTCAGTGATCTTAGAACGAGATCTCTAGAAAGAAGCTTGAGTTCCCGGCTTGGAATTCCGAGTTGGATGACCATTCAAAACGATTATTCCCAGTCAGAACTCGTTGGCAGTGTTGCCATTGTTTTCTACGTTTTTTCTTTGTAATGTCGAAATAAACATGTCTCCAACCCCCATATCACACATTCAGAAACTGTAAATGTGTATACATTATGCTATCAATTGGTGAGAGAGACTCAAATATCACATTCATTTGTACATATCCACTGTATACATGAATCGCGGCAAAGTTAATTCCAGTTTCAGTCATGTCTTTGGTCATGTTCTCGTGCATCAAACAAAAACACCCTAATGATTGGTTGACAATAGAGCCTCCCACAATGCAGGCGATGGCTGCAGTATTAAATTGATGAAGAGCAACTGCAGAAACTTGCAGTCGACTGCAGTCAAGACTTCATGACTTTTGATCACATGGTTTATCCCCATAATGGAATGGAACACACTTTGGAAGGCGGTGAACTTGACAAAGATGATCCGCTCGAATGCACCCAAACACTTTGTCGCACGCCCACACCTCTCACTAGAACACAGTTTTACCCAATCCAACAGAGGCGGCTGGTGGGAGGAGCTATAGGAGGACAGGGTCATTGTAATGGCTGGAATGGAATCAATAGAACAGCATCAAACACATGGAAACCAAGTTTGACTCCGTTCCTATAGCTCCTCCCAACAGCCTCTGCAATACAACACACACATAAATATAGTATAACAGTGTCACTGTTTATTGTTCATCTTCATAGATAGTATTGCCCTATTTTTTACTGATATACAGTATACATCTTATTTTATAGTAATGACTGATCATAACAGGGCAACATACAGGCTTTAACACGCAGTGTTAGGAAGTTCAATAAGGCCTTATTTAATACGTTCTGTCAGCCAATGGTTGAGGAGTATTAAGACAATATGGATTGTGATTGGACAGAATCATACTCGTACAGTAGAGTGCTTGACCTTTAGAACAAGTTAAATCCCCCTAGTTGCAACCCTTGGCTGCCTCCCACATGACACCCTATTCCATAAATAACACTATACAGATAATAGGTTGCTATTTCGGATGCACACCTCAACACCCCACCAGTGATCTTCTCCATAGACTACATTAAGAATGACATCAAAGTGCGCAGAAGCGCAAACTCACCAATAGTTTGTGAGGATTTGCATAATCATCTACAGCAGGTTTTTCTGAGTAGAACAGCATTCCATATTAAGGCATTGGTGGCTGGACTGCATCCAAACTACAGTGACAGTATAAAATATACATAGAGAAAAGGATAACATTGAAAGAAGAGAACCATGTCCCTGGCAAGACTAAAGTAATGCCAAAAAAAAAAAGAAATAAGGAAGCTTTCTTTTCTTTAAAAAAAAGAATGAAGTGAAAACTCTGTCTTAGGATCAAGAGATAGAGCCCTAGTTTGGCTCCACCTACAGACACAGGAAGCCCATATTTGGCCTGGGTCACCCTGACACTCAGCGGTCCCCAGTCACCTGGTCAGAGCTTTGTCTCTAATGTTGTCTCTGAGTGCTGATTTCATTTTTATTTAACAAGGCAAGTCAGTTAAGAACCTGCGCCAACCTCCCGAGTGGCGCAGTGCTAGATCCTGTTTCGAATCCAGGCTCTGTCGTAGCCGGCCGCGACCGGGAGACCCATGGGGCGGCGCACAATTGGCCCAGCGTCGTCCAGGGTAGGGGAGGGAATGGCCGGCAGGGATGTAGCTCAGTTGGTAGAGCATGGCGTTTGCAACACCAGGGTTGTGGGTTCGATTCCCACGGGGGGCCAGTATGAAAAAAAAAGAAAGAATGTATGCACTCACTAACTGTAAGTCGCTCTGGATAAGAGCGTCTGCTAAATGACAAAAAAAAATAAAACATCTTATTTACATTGACGGCCTCCTGCAGGGACGGGGCCTGGGATTAAAAATACAAATAAAATATAGGACAAGATAGACAGCACTACACTACATAAGAGACCTAAGACAACAACATAGCATGGCAGCAGCACAAAACATGGAACAAACATTATTGGGCACAGACAACAGCACAAAGGGCAAGAAGGTAGAGACAACAGCTGATCTAAGGTCAGTTGTGAGTTTTCCCTGTATTGGTTAAGGTTTGTTGTGGACAAGGATAATCTGACCCTAGATCTGTGCTCCTGTGGGGTTACAGGGTCACCACAGCACAGGGAAGTCCTCTCTGCAGCTGAACCCGGGGTCCTTCCGCTGCTCCCAGTATGTATTAGAGCTCAGCCACGTGTCATCCTTTGATTTCCTGTTAAATAAACAAAACAACAGTCACATACATACATACATACATACATACATACATACATACATACATACAGTTGAAGTCGGAAGTTTACATACACCTTAGCCAAATACATTTAAACTCAGTTTTTCACAATTCCTGACATTTAATCCTAGTAAAAATTCCCTGTCTTAGGTCAGTTAGGATCACCACTTTATTTCAAGAATGTGAAATGTCAGAATAATAGTAGAGCGAATGATTTATTTCAGCTTTTATTTCTTTCATCACATTCCCAGTGGGTCAGAAGTTTACATACACTCAATTAGTATTTGGTAGCATTGCCTTTAAATTGTTTAAACTGGGTAAAACGTTTCGGGTAGCCTTCCACAAGCTCCCGACAATAAGTTGGGTGAATTTTGGCCCATTCCTCCTGACAGAGCTGGTGTAACTGAGTCAGGTTTGTAGGCCTCCTTGCTCGCACACACTTTTTCAGTTCTGCACACACATTTTCTATAGGATTGAGGTCAGGGCTTTGTGATGGCCACTCCAATACCTTGACTTTGTTGTCCTTAAGCCATTTTGCCACAACTTTGGAAGTATGCTTGGGGTCATTGTCCATTTGGAAGACCAATTTACGACCAAGCTTTAACTTCCTGACTGATGTCTTGAGATGTTGCTTCAATATATCCACATAATTGTCCTTCCTCATGATGCAATCTATTTTGTGAAGTGCACCAGTCCCTCCTGCAGCAAAGCACCCCCACAGCATGATGCTGCCACCCCCGTGCTTCACGGTTGGGATGGTGTTCTTCGGCTTGCAAGCCTCCCCTTTTTCCTCCAAACATAACAATGGTCATTATGGCCAAACAGTTCTATTTTTGTTTCATCAGACCAGAGGACATTTCTCCAAAAAGTACGATCTTTGTCCCCATGTGCAGTTGCACACCATAGTCTGGCTTTTTTATGGCGGTTTTGGAGCAGTGGCTTCTTCCTTGCTGAGCGGCCTTTCAGGTTATGTCGATATAGGACTTGTTTTACTGTGGATATAGATACTTTTGTAGCTGTTTCCTCCAGCAACTTCACAAGGTCCTTTGCTGTTGTTCTGGGATTGATTTTCACTTTTCGCACCAAAGTACATTCATCTCTAGGAGACAGAACGCGTCTCCTTCCTGAGCGGTATGACAGCTGCGTGGTCCCATGGTGTTTATACTTACGTACTATTGTTTGTACAGATGAACGTGGTACCTTCAGGCGTTTGGAAATTGCTCCCAAGGATGAACCAGATTTGTGGAGGTCTACAATTTTTTTTCTGAGGTCTTGGCTGATTTATTTGGATTTTCCCATGATATCAAGCAGAGGCACTGAGTTTGAAGGTAGGCCTTGAAATACATCCACAAGTACACCTCCAATTGACTCAAATGATGTCAATTAGCCTATCAGAAGCTTCTAAAGCCATGACATAATTTTCTGGAATTTTCCAAGCTGTTTAGAGGCACAGTCAACTTAGTAAACTTCTGACCCACTGGAATTGTGATACAGTGAATTATAAGTGAAATTATCTGTCTGTAAACAATTGTTGGAAAAATGACTTGTGTCATGCACAAAGTAGATGTCCTAACCGACTTGCCAAAACTATATTTTCTTAACAAGAAATTTGTGGAGTGGTTGAAAAACAACTTTTAATGACTCCAACCTAAGTGTATGTAAACTTCTGACTTCAACGGTACATACATACATACATACATACATACATACATACATACATACATACATACATACATACATACATACATACATACATACATACATACATACATACATACATACATACATACATACATACATACATACATACATACATACATACATACATACATACATACATACATACATACATACAGTGGGGAAAAAAAGTATTTAGTCAGCCACCAATTGTGCAAGTTCTCCCACTTAAAAAGATGAGAGAGGCCTGTAATTTTCATCATAGATACACGTCAACTATGACAGACAAAATGAGAAAAAAAAATCCAGAAAATCACATTGTAGGATTTTTTATGAATTTATTGGCATATGATGGTGGAAAAAAAGTATTTGGTCAATAACAAAAGTTTCTCAATACTTTGTTTTATACCCTTTGTTGGCAATGACACAGGTCAAACGTTTTCTGTAAGTCTTCACAAGGTTTTCACACACTGTTGCTGGTATTTTGGCCCATTCCTCCATGCAGATCTCCTCTAGAGCAGTGATGTTTTGGGGCTGTCGCTGGGCAACACAGACTTTCAACTCCCTCCAAAGATTTTCTATGGGGTTGAGATCTGGAGACTGGCTAGGCCACTCCAGGTCCTTGAAATGCTTCTTACGAAGCCACTCCTTCGTTGCCCGGGCGGTGTGTTTGGGATCATTGTCATGCTGAAAGACCCAGCCACGTTTCATCTTCAATGCCCTTGCTGATGGAAGGAGGATTTCACTCAAAATCTCACGATACATGGCCCCATTCATTCTTTCCTTTACACGGATTAGTCATCCTGGTCCCTTTGCAGAAAAACAGCCCCAAAGCATGATGTTTCCAACCCCATGCTTCACAGTAGGTATGGTGTTCTTTGGATGCAACTCAGCATTCTTTGTCCTCCAAACATGACGAGTTGAGTTTTTACCTAAAAATTATATTTTGGTTTCATCTGACCGTATGACATTCTCCCAATCCTCTTCTGGATCATCCAAATGCACTTCAGACGGGCCTGGACATGTACTGGCTTAAGCAGGGGGACACGTCTCGCACTGCAGGATTTGAGTCCCTGGCGGCGTAGTGTGTTACTGATGGTAGGCTTTGTTACTTTGGTCCCAGCTCTCTGCAGGTCATTCACTAGGTCCCCCCGTGTGGTTCTGGGATTTTTGCTCACCGTTCTTGTGATCATTTTGACCCCACGGGGTGAGATCTTGCGTGGAGCCCCAGATCGAGATAGATTATCAGTGGTCTTGTATGTCTTCCATTTCCTAATAATTGCTCCCACAGTTGATTTCTTCAAACCAAGCTGCTTACCTATTGCAGATTCAGTCTTCCCAGCCTGGTGCAGGTCTACAATTTTGTTTTTGGTGTCCTTTGACAGCTCTTTGGTCTTGGCCATTGTGGAGTTTGGAGTGTGACTGTTTGAGGTTGTGGACAGGTGTCTTTTATACTGATAACAAGTTCAAACAAGTGCCATTAATACAGGTAACGAGTGGAGGACAGAGGAGCCTCTTAAAGAAGAAGTTACAGGTCTGTGAGAGCCAGAAATCTTGCTTGTTTGTAGGTGACCAAATACTTATTTTCCACCATAATTTGCAAATAAATTCATTAAAAATCCTACAATGGGATTTTCTAGAATTTTTTTTCTCAATTTGTCTGTCATAGTTGACGTGTACCTATGATGAAAATTACAGGCCTCTCTCATCTTTTTAAGTGGGAGAACTTGCACAATTGGTGGCTGACTAAATACTTTTTTTCCCCCACCATACATACATACATACATACATACATACATACATACATACATACATACATACATACATACATACATACATACATACATACATACATACATACATACATACATACATACATACACATACATACATACATACATACATACATACATACATACATACCATACATACCATACATACCATACATACCATACATACCATACATACATACCATACATACCATACATACCATACATTACATTACATACATACATACCATACATATAAATAACTTAACACATATTTCAAACATACTGCATAACCTGGCTGTAAGTGTACAACCCTAACCCCCTGTAAACATTAATGCAGAACTGTCTGAGATCTCATGACTACACAGAACAACTTAATGGTGTCGTTTTGACCAGTCCGACACTGAGGGGCTCTATTTCCAGCTGGCGTTAAGGCAGTGCTAGTGTCAAACGCACGTTAGGTTTGCAATTTCGTCATTTAAAAACTGCCGCATTGGCATTTCCCAGCCCTAACGCCAGGTCTGTCTAATATCAGCACACTTGCGCTCAGATGGGAGTTGGAAATATTGTTGGAAATATTTTATGCTTGTCCTTAAAATCATGATTCAAAGTGCTAATTTCAGGCAGCGCTGATAGGATATTTAAGACCAACCAAAAGCTGGATTTAGCAGTAATGCAGTTGGTTATGGCATTAATTTTGACAGCGGAAACGCAGCCTATCCAGCTATGATGCACACTGCCCATATGCGCATGGAACAAGAGTAGCTTAATGTGATTTTGGTGCCTTTATACTTCGTTTTTAGAAACATAAATGTAATGTTTTTTTCCCCCATTTCATTTTATTTGGTTAAAAACCAAGCATAGCCTCCCCTCCTCTCAATAAAGGCTTTTTTTTGTGCTGCCCAATGCAATTGCGAAGTAGTCAAGACTGTCGATAAAGGGTTTGGCTCCTGAGACCGCTTGGAAATAAATCTTAAATCACCAAAGCTTTGAGAGAAGTAAAACAGTGAGCTGACATTCCCTTTTTATCTATGCATTGTAGGCAGGCCCACATTATCTTAGCGTGCAGGTCCCGTTTTGGATGTGGGTAAAACCCTCCATAGTCTGCATTATTTTAATATTTTATGGCCATGGGGAGAAATTATGGTGCCTATTAGTGCGAGATAGCCTTTTAAAACAAGTTGTTGTTTCGTTTTGTTTAGAATTTGATTTGAATTATTCCTTCTCTTTTTAGGCCTTATCAATAATTAATTTAATCTTGCTTTTTTACAATGTTTGGCATATCCATGCTCAGCCATAATGCAATGTACAGTAGGCCTAGCCCCTATATCAGTGTGAATGCTATTGAAGCCATGCAATTACTTAGAACAATGTGGACTGCAAATGGGTTCAAGTTAACATATTTAGCAAAGATAGGTCTACATTTTGTTATTTCGTTTTTGTAAGCCATTTAACAAACTATAATCAAATCAAATGTATTGGTCACATACACATATTTAGCAGATGTTATTGCGGGTGTAGCGAAATGCTAACGGACTAACATTGGAATTAGAGTTGATTCCAAGGCAATACATAGAAGACCGTAAATACACAACTTGAAGCAACCACATATTTCACCATGGAGCACATTCTGATTGGCCAGTGAGGGGCCAAGCCTCGACACACCCACAACGTGTTTATTCATCAAAATCCAGCCCTTTTGTGCCAACGCCAGTAAGTGTACAGATAATTGTAAGTGAAAATAGCAAAAATATTTCTGACACACCCCTGAACCTATAGCGCTACCGCCTGCACTTAGATTAACCATCGCGTTAGGTTTGTTAAAATAGAGCCCTGAGGCTAATGGAGTGTTATTCAGATGACAGACCTGTGGCAGTGTGGTAAGTTATATAGACAGTGGTGCCAATCCGTCAGATCTTTTCGATATTGTATAGCAGTGGTTCCCAACCAGGGGTACAAGGACCCCTGGGGGTACTTGGCCTATCCACAGGGGGTACTTGAGAAGAATCATGAGATGATAGGCTTACCGGTAAAATGCACGAGGGGGTGCGCGAAAAACGTTGGGAACCACTGTTGTATAGGATACTGTGCAGCTAATAAGTAAGACTGCCTTGGTCTGTCTTCGTGGCTAAATGTATGAGCAATGAACTCCCTTGTCTGCTGGAATCAGACAGAAAGGCAGGCACACACACACACACTGTTGCATACTTGAAGAAGCGTGGTTTGTGCATCATGTTGTTCTCCTCCAGAACTTTCCTCCTTTCTCTCTGGAGCAGCTCTATCCTCAGTTTCTGTTCCTCAGCCCCCTCAATGTTCCCTTCTTCCAAACACCTGTGAGAGAAATAGAGAGAGAGAATGAGATATTATGGAGAGGGAGAGATTCGAGTGAAAAGGATCCTATGAGAAGGGTGGTATAATACAGGGAAGTATGAGAGAGAGAAGGAAAACTGGAGAGCGAGGAAGACCGAGAGGACGACAGAGAGAGAGGAGAGGAGGAAGACGGAGAGAGAGGAGAGGAGGAAGACGAGAGAGGAGAGGAGGAAGACAGAGAGAGGAGGAAGACAGAGAGAGGAGGAAGACAGAGAGAGAGGAGAGGAAGACGAGAGAGAAGAGAGGAGGCAAGACTAGAGAGAATATAGTAGTAATACTAGAGATGAATAAGGAGGAGACAGAAGGTGTGAGCATATTGAAGATGATAGATTTGACTACAGATATCATATTATTACATATCGAGATATATATTAGTAAGACTTACATATAGAGATTATTAACAGATATATATTACATGATTAATACTAGAGAATTAGTATATTATTCATATTATATATATATATTATAATACATATAGATATTATTAATACAATATATATTATTCATACATATATATTTTATTCATACATATATATTTTATTCATACATATATTTTATTCATACATAATATATAATATATTATTAATAACTCATATATATTATATTATTAATACTTATATATAAAATATGATTATTAATACATATATCTATAGTATTAATACAGATAGTTATATATATTATACATATATATTATATTATAATACTATATATATTAGTATTATAAACTATATATATATATTATTATACTATTATATATATTATTAATACATATATATATTATATTATTAATACTATATAAAATTATATTATAATACTATATATATATATTATATTATTAATACTATATATCTAATACTATATCTATTATATTAATTAAACTTATATATTATATTATATTATTAATACTATATATCTTATAGTTATTATACTATATATATTATATTATTAATACTATATATATTATATTATTAATACATATATATATTATTTATTACTTATAATAGTATATTATTTATACTTATATAATTAATTTCTTATATCTATTACAATTTAAATATATTATATTATTAATAAATTATATATATTATATTATTAATAGCTATTTTATATATTATATTTATTACTTTATATATATTATATTCAACTATATATTATATTATTAATACTATTATAATATATTATATATATTATTTTTAAACTATTATTAATACTTATATATATTATTAAAACTTATATTATTAATACTTTATATATTTATATTTGAAAAAACATATATATTATTTACATATATATATTACTACATATATATTATATTATTAATACATATAATATTATATTATTAATACATAATATATATATGATTAATACATATATATTATAATATTTTATACTTATATCTATTATTATATTAATACTTTATCTAGTATATTATTTATAACGATATCATTAATTATTAAGATACGCTAGAGAGGATAATACGAGAAAGAGAATAAGGAGATTAGAAGAACTTATATCTACAGGACGAGTAGGATATAGAAGAAGAACGAGATAGGATCTATTATATTATATACTTATAATTGACTGAGACTATTATATTAGACTTTAAGCAGACGTAGAGTATTAATATTATTAGATTAAAGAATCTAGAGAGACACTATTAAGACTTAGACTATATTTAATACATAGGATATTTACAAGAACAGATATATGAGATAGATAGATATATAAGAGAATAAATATAGAAGATAAGATGAATTAAGAATATTAATACTTATAATTATTTATTAATACGACAATGGATTAAGATTAATACGAGAGATATGAGTGAATAAAGAATGATGAGGAAGACATATAGAGCAAATACAAATCCCGTTTGTCCTACCTCTGGTCCAGACGGAAGCGTGTGTCTGTGGGGGGTAGGAAGGGCTTCAGGGCAGCATCAAGCTCATTCAGCTCCACAGCAAACTGAGTGAAGCCATAGTACTGGTCCTGGTCCACAGGCATGGGGTCTACACAAACACATATTACAAAATTACCCAAACACCCATTTAAAACTTTTTTCACGGTAAATAACATCATAACCTATAATATTTCCGTGGAATGCCACTTTATGTTTGTGACTGTGGGTGTGTGAGTTGTGACGGACAGTCCAAAGAGCCAGTCACTCACTTGCTCTCCAGATGCAGATGGCAGAGGGCGTGTCTCCTTGGTATATGCCTTCGTGCCATTTGCCAAAGAAAGAGTGGATCACACGACCCCCACTGTCCGTGACCACTCCCTCTATCTCATTCACCGTTGAGCTCCACGATCTCGCCTGCGGATTAAATATGCAAAACATATTAATAATAATAAACTAATTAAACTAATGACGCAAAAAACAAATGTGATGTTACAAATCGGAAACCCATAAAACGCTGTCAATCATGTGAGAAATGATTTAATAAAAATTCCATAGAATTCTAAATAATACATTTATCCATCCACCACTCATTTGTAACTTTTAAGGTTTCCAGGATTATGGTCTCCAGAATGTTGTTCCTCCTGTTCCCCAACAGATGGTGTTGTTACACCAGATAATACCCTCAGAAACATAATGCAAGTGCCTAGGCCAGCTTTTCCCAAACTCGGTGCTGGAGACTCCAAGTGGTACACATTTTGGTTTTTGCCCTAGCACTACACACTATTCCTGATTCAAATGATCAGCTCATTATCAAGCTTTGATTATTTGAATCAGCTGTGTAGTGCTAATGCAAAAACCAAAATGTGCACCCCTTGGCCACAGGACCGAGTTTGGGAAACGCTGGCCCAGGGTTTCATACGTGTTGGACAATTTACATTGAATTGTGTTAGGCAGTTTCGAATAACACCCTATTCCCTATATAGTGCACTACTTTTGGCCAGAGTAGTAGTTTACTATATAAGAAATAGGGTGCCATTTGGGACGCATACTTAGTGTATCTGTACACACAGGTATGGTATAGTCCGTCTCCTCACCTTGACGAAGGTCACTTTACACTGGCAGGCTTCACTGTTGGTGTTTTTGATTGACATCTCTCCGTAGTGTTCTATCCAGCGCTGGCCACTCAGGATGTTGTGGATACAGGACGTTACCTTGTTCCACTCATAGTGGTCCCCAAACCTGAGGATGACAAACGACTGTCACACACACACACACACACCTCTATTTCATATGAAAGCAGCTCTTTGACACAAACACGTTCTATAAGTCAAAGAGACTCACCCTGGCAGGGTCACATGAGTGGTTCCCATAGGAACAATCTCCATGGATTTTCCCCAGAACTTATTCTTACACTGGACATCTGACAGACAGATGGGACAGAGAGACATACAGGGGACAGAGAGACAGACAGGGGAAGTAGGTGAGTGGGGCAGGTAACCCTCACAATAACAATTACAAATAGAAAGAAAAGGTGGTGATATGTTTACTGAAAACATGGAAGCTTACCTTGCCAAAAAGTAAAGTTGTTAGAATCACAGTGACACGCTGACACAGGTGGGTGATGGCTCACCTGAGAAGGACAGGGGGTACAACGTGGGTTCAACTGACAATGTTATGAGTGTTCAGTCATCCTATGCAATGTTGGTGTCCCAAATGGCACCCTTTTCCCTATATAGTGCACCACTTTTGACCAGAGCACTATGGGCCCTGGTCAAATGTAGTGCACTATATAGGGAATAGGGTGCCATTTGGAACGAAAAAATGAATCAGCCCAGTGATTCTTGGTTTACTGTATGTGAGTGACGTTAACTTGTTCCTGTAGGTTTGTTTACCTGTTCTGCTATGAACCTGAAGCCCTTGTCAGGTCTGTCACACTCGTAGGTCTCTCCTAGGACGGGGTTAAAGGGTTTACTTCCTGCCCGGTGGTAACTGGAGGCGTACGCAGACACCGCAAATGTTGCCACATACACCTGCAGCACAGGAGACACACATACAGAGAGACACAGAGAAAGAGACAGAGACTGTGTTACTTACCATGTGTAGATAGAGGTTGTGAGTGTGTGTGGGTTCCCACAATGCATCATAAGAATCATGGTGTGAGTATGTCCAAATTCTCTCACCCTGCGTTGCTAGGGATTGTGTGTGTGTGTGTGTGTGTGTGTGTGTGTGTGTGTGTGTACACTTGCATTCTATATCCTCACCATTCTCTGGTACGGGTCCTGTGTGTTGTTGGCTGTATCCAGCAGCTCTGAGTACTCCACCTCCTCACACAGCCTCTGTAGTATGTTGAGAGGTTCGTTGAGCTGAACAGGCATGGCTACCTTGGACAGGTCCTTCCCTATGTTGTTCTTGAGGATGTTCCATAGACTGACACTGCTGCTGCTGGGCTGGGGGGAGGGGAGGGTAGTCCGCCTGCGGGCCACCTGAACACCATCACCTCTTGAGGCTGCTGGGGGGGAGAGAGGGGGAGAGGTGCTGCTCTTAAAATGGAGGTAGCAAACTGAACAGACATTTGCTCACTCGTACAAATCGTATGCTCGTCATAGAAATACTCATATGCTGGCCCATCCATCCGCACACACACACACACACACACACACACGGGATACCAGAGTCATGTCTCTCGCTTCCTCCCTCGTTGCTGTAGCCGGTGTCCATGGAAACGCTGTCGCTGACATCACTGACATACGAGTCATCATCAGAAGCCTGGAGACAAACAGAGAAAAACATATATTAATGACTGATTCAGGGTCAGATCATTGTTTATCTCCCTAATGGTTAGGGTTGGCTTAGGGGTTGGGTAATCTGATCCCAGATCTGATCTTAGGGCTCACCTCGTTCTCAGAGGAGCTGGAGGTCAGCTGGTACTCCTGAGCATCAAAGAACTCTGACATGGACTCAGGGATGGATGCTTGACTAACATTGGACGCCTGGTGGACAAGTTGGCGGGATCCATCTGGGAGATCCTGATTGGTAGAAAAGGTTGATTGGCAGCTGAGGTTCAGATCAGTCCTAATGTCATGTTTGGTATATAAACAATCTCTTGAAATCAACTTGACAATACATCTTGATATGTGCAATATTGTGGAACACAGCACATGCACACACGCACTCGCCCTGTCTCTTACACACACTCTCACAAACACACACCTAACTCACCGAGCCATAGCCGGTCTTGAGGACCATGACCTGTGCTGGAGGAGGGGCCTGCAGGTCAATAGTGTGTCTCACTCTGTCTCTCTCTGCTGATAGAGAACTGTAGGCTGACCGCAGAGTGGAGTGAACTAGAGAGAGAGACATACACAGAGTGAGAAAAAAAAGAGAGCGAAATGTGTTTTAACCACCATACCCAGCCTGTAAAATACCTATATTGACCCAGGGGGCCGATCTGACACAAGGGACTCACCGTTGTTGGCCAGCCTGCAGAAGTCCTCCTGGAGGCGGTTCGCATCAGTAGGTGAGTCTGGGGATTCTTGGGAGGAGGTGTTGGCTTCAGTAGAGAGGTTTGGGTGGGAAGTATGGAGAAGAAGAGAGGCAGGTGGTGAGACACAGCCAGGAACCTGGTGGAAGGAGATAAATCAGGGTTAAAGACAATTACAGGTGGGGGATGTATTGGGTGTCACGCAGACCTATTCTTCTAGTAGTCTTTGGTCAATGCAACACTTATCTCAAGTGGCTGTAGGATTTAGCATAAGTCAAAGTTGACATGGAGCAGTAGCAGGTATTGCTTTGAGAGAACGTAAAACAGTGTGTACCTGTAGTGTGGCTGGGGGATCTTTGCTGTAATTCTTTGAACGCCACTTCCTGGGACCCCTCTTCTCCTTCTTGGGAATGTCGTACGTGGAGGCCTGATGTCCCAGAGAAGAGGAAGAAGGAACAGACAATGATTTGGATAGTGAGAAAACAGAGAGGTTAGGGTTAGAGTCTAGGTTTTTTATTTTATTTTATTTTTTACACTGCTCAAAAAAATAAAGGGAACACTTAAACAACACATCCTAGATCTGAATGAATGAAATAATCTTATTAAATACTTTTTTTCTTTACATAGTTGAATGTGCTGACAACAAAACCACACAAAAATTATCAATGGAAATCAAATTTTTCAACCCATGGAGGTCTGGATTTGGAGTCACCCTCAAAATTAAAGTGGAAAACCACACTACAGGCTGATCCAACTTTGATGTAATGTCCTTAAAACAAGTCAAAATGAGGCTCAGTAGTGTGTGTGGCCTCCACGTGCCTGTATGACCTCCCTACAACGCCTGGGCATGCTCCTGATGAGGTGGCAGATGGTCTCCTGAGGGATCTCCTCCCAGACCTGGACTAAAGCATCCGCCAACTCCTGGACAGTCTGTGGTGCAATGTGACGTTGGTGGATGGAGCGAGACATGATGTCCCAGATGTGCTCAATTGGATTCAGGTCTGGGGAACGGGCGGGCCAGTCCATAGCATCAATGCCTTCCTCTTGCAGGAACTGCTGACACACTCCAGCCACATGAGGTCTAGCATTGTCTTGCATTAGGAGGAACCCAGGGCCAACCGCACCAGCATATGGTCTCACAAGGGGTCTGAGAATCTCATCTTGGTACCTAATGGCAGTCAGGCTACCTCTGGCGAGCACATGGAGGGCTGTGCGGCCCCCCAAAGAAATGCCACCCCACACCATGACTGACCCACCGCCAAACCAGTCATGCTGGAGGATGTTGCAGGCAGCAGAACATTCTCCACGGTGTCTCCAGACTCTGTCACGTCTGTCACATGTGCTCAGTGTGAACCTGCTTTCATCTGTGAAGAGCACAGGGCGCCAGTGGCGAATTTGCCAATCTTGGTGTTCTCTGGCAAATGCCAAACGTCCTGCACGGTGTCGGGCTGTAAGCACAACCCCCACCTGTGGACGTTGGGCCCTCATACCACCCTCATGGAGTCTGTTTCTGACCGTTTGAGCAGACACATGCACATTTGTGGCCTGCTGGAGGTAATTTTGCAGGGCTCTGGCAGTGCTCCTCCTGCTCCTTCTTGCACAAAGGCGGAGGTAGCAGTCCTGCTGCTGGGTTGTTGCCCTCCTACGGCCTCCTCCACGTCTCCTGATGTACTGGCCTGTCTCCTGGTAGCGCCTCCATGCTCTGGACACTACGCTGACAGACACAGCAAACCTTCTTGCCACAGCTCGCATTGATGTGCCATCCTGGATGAGCTGCACTACCTGAGCCACTTGTGTGGGTTGTAGACTCCGTCTCATGCTACCACTAGAGTGAAAGCACCGCCAGCATTCAAAAGTGACCAAAACATCAGCCAGGAAGCATAGGAACTGAGAAGTGGTCTGTGGTCACCACCTGCAGAACGACTTCTTTATTGGGGGTGTCTTGCTAATTGCCTATAATTTCCACCTGTTGTCTATTCCATTTGCACAACAGCATGTGAAATGTATTGTCAATCAGTGTTGCTTCCTAAGTGGACAGTTTGATTTCACAGAAGTGTGATTGACTTGGAGTTACATTGTGTTGTTTAAGTATTCCCTTTATTTTTTTTGAGCAGTGTATTTCACCTTTATTTAACCAGGTAAGCCAGTTGAGAACAAGTTCTCATTTACAACTGCGACCTGGCCAAGATAAAGCAAAGCAGTGCGATAAAAACAACAACAACACAGAGTTACATATGGAATAAACAAAACGCAGTGTGTGCACATGTAGTAAGTTATGGAGGTAAGGCAATAAATAGGCCATAGTGCAAAATAATTACAATTTAGTATTAACACTGGAGTGATAGATGTGCAGAAGATGATGTGCAAATAGAGATACTGGAGTGCAAATGAGCAAAATAAATAACAATGTAAATAACAATATGGGGATGAGGTAGTTGGGTGGGCTAATTACAGATGGGCTGTGTTACAGGTGCAGTGATCGGTAAGCTGCTCTGACAACTGATGCTTAAAAGTTAGTGAGGGAGATAAGTGTCTCCAGCTTCAGAAATTTTTGCAGTTCGTTCCAGTCATTTGCAGCAGAGAACTGGAAGGAATGGCGGCCAGGGATGTAGCTCAGTTGGTAGAGCATGGCGTTTGCAACGCCAGGGTTGTGGGTTAAATTCCCACGGGGGGCCAGTATGAAAAAAAATTTATGCACTCACTAACTGTAGGTCGCTCTGGATAAGAGCATCTGCTAAATGACTAAATAAAAAAAATAAAAAGGAGGTGTTGGCTTTGGGGATGACCAGTGAGATATACCTGCTGGAACGCATATTACGGGTGGGTGTTGCTATGGTGACCAATGATCTAAGATAAGGCGTGGATTTGCCTAGAAGTGATTTATAGACGACCTGGAGCCAGTGGGTTTGGCAACGAATATGTAGTCGAGGCCAGCCAACGAGAGCATACAGGTCACAATGGTGGGTAGTATATGGGGCTTTGGTGACAAAACGGATGGCACTGTGATAGACTACATCCAATTTGCTGAGTAGAGTGTTGGAAGCTATTTTGTAAATGACATCGCAGAAGTCAAGGATCGGTAGGATAGTCAGTTTTACAAGGGCATGTTTAGCAGCATGAGTGAAGGAGGCTTTGTTGCGAAATAGGAAGCCGATTCTAGATTTAACTTTGGATTGGAGATGCTTAATGTGAGTATGGAAGGAGAATTTACGGTCTAACCAGGCACCTAGGTATTTGTAGTTGTCCACATATTCTAAGTCAGACCCGCCGAGAGTAGTGATTCTAGTCTGGCGGGCGGGTGCAAGCAGATTGAAGAGCATGCATTTAGTTTTACTAGTGTTTAAGAGCAGTTGGAGGCCACGGAAGGAGTGTTGTATGGCATTGAAGCTCGTTTGGAGGTTTGTTAACACAGTGTCCAATGAAGGTTCCAGATGTATACAAAATGGTGTCGTCTGCGTAGAGGTGGATCTGAGAGTCACCAGCAGCAAGAGCGACATCATTGATATACACAGAGAATAGAGTCGGCCCGAGAATTGAACCCTGTGGCACCCCCATAGTGACTGCCAGAGGACCAGATAACAGGCCCTCCTCCGATTTGACACATTGAACTCTATCTGAGAAGTAGTTGGTGAACCAGGCGAGGCAGTCATTTGAGAAACAAAGGCTATTTAGTCTGCCAATAAGAATGCGGTGATTGACAGAGTCAAAAGCCTTGGCCAGGTCGATGAAGACGGCTGCACAGTACTGTCTTTTAGCGATCACGGTTATTATATCGTTTAGGACCTTGAGCGTGGCTGAGGTGCACCCATGACCAGCTCGGAAACCAGATTGTATAGCGGAGAAGGTACGGTAGGATTCGAAATGGTCGGTGATCTGTTTGTTAACTTGGCTTTCAAATACTTTCAAAAGGCAGGGCAGGATGGATATAGGTCTGTAACAGTTTGGATCTAGAGTGTTACCCCCTTTGAAGAGGGGGATGACCGCGGCAGCTTTCCAATCTCTGGGGATCTCAGACTATACGAAAGAGAGGTTGAACAGGCTAGTAATAGCGACAATTTCGGTGGGCTAATTTTAGAAAGAAAGGGTCCAGATTGTCTAGCCCAGCTGATTTGTAGGGGTCCAGATTTAGAAGCTCTCTCAGGACATTGGCTATCTGAATTTGGGTGAAGGAGAAGCGGGGGGTGGGGCACGGGCAAGTTGCAGCGGATGATGCAGAGCTGGTGGCCGGGGTAGGGGTAGCCAGGTGGAAAGCATGGCCAGCCGTAGCAAAATGCTTATTGAAGTTCTCGATTATTGTAGATTTATCGGTGGTGACAGTGTTTCCTAGCCTCAGTGCAGTGGGTAGCTGGGAGGAGGTGCTCTTATTCTCCATGGACTTCACAGTGTCCCAAAACTTTTTGGAGTTAGTGCTACAGGATGCATATTTCTGTTTGAAAAAGCTAGCCTTTGCTTTCCTAACTGATTGTGTATTTTGGTTCCTGACTTCCCTGAAAAGTTGCATATCGCAGGGGCTGTTCGATGCTAATGCAGTACGCCACAGGATGTTTTTGTGCTGGTCAAGGGCAGTCAAGTCTGGGGTGAACCAGGGGCTATATCTGTTCTTAGTTCTGACTTTTTTGAATGGGGCATGCTTATTTAAGATGGAGAGGAAAGCACTTTTGAAGAACATCCAGGCATCCTCTACTTACGGAATGAGGTCAATATCCATCCAGGATACCCGGGCCAGGTCAATTAGAAAGGCCTGCTCGCTGAAGTGTTTTAGGGAGCGTTTGACAGTGATGAGGGGTGGTCGTTTGACCGCGGACCCATTACGGACGCAGGCAATGAGGCAGTGGTCGCTGAGATCCTGGTTGAAGTCAGCGGAGGTGTATTTAGAGGGTCAATTAGTCAGGATGATATCTATGAGGGTGCCCATGTTTACGGATTTAGGGTTGTACCTGGTAGGTTCCTTGATAATTTGTGTGAGATTGAGGGCATCTAGTTTAGATTGTAGGACTGCTGGGGTGTTAAGCATATCCCAGTTTAGGTCACCAAGCAGTACGAACTCTGAGGATAGATGGGGGGCAAGCAATCCACATATGGTGTCCAGGGCATAACTGGGGGCTGAGGGGGGTCTGTAGCAAGCGGCAACATTGAGAGACTTATTTCTGGAAAGGTGGATTTTTAGAAGTGTTTGGACACAGACCTGGATAGTATGATAGGTTAGGTGAGGTGTGCATACCTACCATGTACTGATAGGAGGGTCAGACTAAGTGTAGTGTAGGTTAAAGGAGCTGAGTACAGTATGTGTACTGGGTCAAGGTTAAAGGGCAAAGGTTATGTGTTACCATGAGGTTGATGGCGGGGGCAGAGTAAGTGCGGTGGAGAACCTCCATACTCTTCAGCAGCAGGTTGAGTTCCAACAGGTACGACTCACACTCCTCCAAGTCTGACAGAGAAGGATGAGGAATATGAGTTAGAGAAGGTGAGAGATATGAATTAGAGAAGGTGAGAGAGAATCGATACAGAGACCGTAAGTAAGGTAAGATCCATCAGGAAAGGTATGGCACAGACAGACAGGTGAGATGTTTGACCTCCCTACCTCTACAGCACCTGTCCATGTCTTCTGAGGAGTGAAGCCAGGCACGGACCTTAGCTTGCTGGACAACTGATGCCTGTTTAGCCAGACTGGAGCGCTGCTGAGAGAGGGAGCGGGGGACGGATAGAGCGAGAGGGAGAGAGGGGAAGGGTGAGAGACAAGGAATTGAATATGCATAGACATACAATGACTCATATAAAATACATTATACAGTACAATAATTAAATGATGATTGGTCAGTTAAGAATCGCCAGTAAGAGGTTGCTCTTAGGCACAGATCTAGGGCCAGCTTACCATCTCCAAAATTCTAACCCTAACCATTAGGGGGAAAAGCACAAAACTGATCATATATCTGTGTCTAAGGAGAATCGTACCTGTCTCATGGAGTCGTTGAGGTTAGGCGAGAGGTGTGAGGAGGGGTGAAACAGGTGCCTCTCGTGGGGGTACATGGCGATCTCGTTCTGCCGGAAGACACGGTGATGTCGTAGCTTTGACACCCAATCATCAAACAGCTCCTGTGACTTCACTTCCTGAGACTTCTCAGACGTCACCTATTGGACAGAGAGATGTGATGTCATTTAAATAGGAGAGAGATAATAATATATAATATACCATTTAGCAGACGCTTTTATCCAAAGAGACTTACGTGATGTCATTTAAATAGGAGAGAGAGAGAGAGAGAGAGAGAGAGAGAGAGAGACCTTAAGGTGATAAATGTTGTTGTTGGTGTCCAGATCGATGGCCTTGGTTTTTTTTTTTATTGACATGACAGACAGCCCCACATCAATGCAGCCATGCAGCTTGCCCTTGTTCAGCTGGAAACAAAAGCAAAGGTCAGTGTGTGTGTGTGTGACTGACTAACTAACTAACTGAGCGAATTCTCGCTCCTTCAATGACACATACATTAACTCAATTCTGTGTGTGTATGCATTGCATCTGCTTGACAGATACTTTTGAATAGCCACTTACATCAGCTCTACGTTTTGAGTACTTCAGAATGCCTTTCTCCAGCAAGAAGTATCTCTGGATAGCAAGAGAAAGTAACAACTGTTTTAGTCATCTGTCTGTCACGTTCAGCCACTAATTATCTGCTTTGGGCCAAGTAAATAACTTCACATTTTAGACATTACAGTTGTGGACAAAAGCTTTTTACATCAATAAGGTATCCATTCAAATGCTCCATTCAAATGTCCCCTCCAGCTTAACATAAGCATCTTATCAGAGCTTTAGATAAACACCAGGTAAGGGAGGGGTTAAAGAGATCCAGGGTGTATCTCAAGTGTCTGCTTGATTCCTCACGTCCTCTCCTCACATCCTTTAGTCCAGAAGAGAAGGTCTGAAGAGAACCTCTGACCTTCTCCTCCAATGCATGTAGAGAAGGTGGTGAGGAGAGAGGATGCAAGGAATCAAGGATAGACACTCGAGAGTTACCTGCAGTAAGAGGTCAGGGAGGTTGTACCCATGTTGTGCCATCCCTTCATAGGTAAGGGGTCAGGGGTCAGGGATCAGGGAGGTTGTACCCACCTTGTGCCATTCCTTCATAGGTAAGGGGTCAGGGGTCAGGGATCAGGGAGGTTGTACCCACCTTGTGCCATTCCTTCATAGGTAAGGGGTCAGGGGTCAGGGAGGTTGTACCCACCTTGTGCCATCCCTTCATAGGTAAGGGGTCAGGGGTCAGGGAGGTTGTACCCACCTTGTGTCATCCCTTCATAGGTAAGGGGTCAGGGGTCAGGGAGGTTGTACCCACCTTGTGCCATCCCTTCATAGGTAAGGGCTCAGGGAGGTTGTACCCACCTTGTGCCATCCCTTCATAGGCCATTTCCTTCTCTTGAGCAGGAAGCCCTCCTGGTTCTCCGGCTCCTGGATGTTGCCAGGGTTACCCTTCAGCCCCTCTATGATCTCCCAGCTGTCCTGTAGACAAAGACGCATCGGGTTACACACACACGGCAAAACATGGACTTATGCGAGTTACACGCATACCCAACCACATTAAGAGAGGAGGAGAGGCTGTGTATCTCTGCCTTAATGTGTCCTCTAACCCAGGCCCTGGCAGGGAGTGTTAGGAGTGCTGCTAGGTGTCCTCCAGTCAGTTCAGCTGACGTTAGTTCAGTCAAGATAAGCATAAAAATGCTAATGTTGCCACAAGACATTTGAGACAGAGCTGTGTTCATTCAGACAGGCAAGCACATGAAGAGACACGGACGCAAACACACACCTGATGGCTGTCATGTTTGGACGAGCCGCTGCTGCTGTCGCTGTGGGAGGGGGATGTTGATGTCATCTTTCTGTGACTTGACAGTTCTGCTCACGATCGTCTAGTCTCAGTGGAAACCACAGAAGTCACAACGGGCTCAACAGGAACATCACCTAGCACACCGACCTCAAGAGGGCGTCATCATGAATAACCACTGCTAAAGAGGAAGAGAGAGAGTAGGAAAGAGAACATTGTTACTTCATTTTCAGCATGTTGAGACGAACAAGTGAGCTGAGAGAAATGAAATCCACATACCACTGTAGCGTTGCTTTAGCGAAGCAGTAGGACAACAAAAACATATGTGACTATTCTACGCCCTCAAAACTAGGTGCGCTTTTAGGTTAGGCACGAGATTATCAGGTGTTCGTTATGTTTGCATGAGCTCTCTGACACACACACACACACACACACACACACACACACACACACACACCACAGAGTACACTCCCAGCAGCATAGACCCTGTGTATTGGGAAATGCCAGAGTCTCCATTTGAACTATGGTATAGTGCAGTGAGACAGTGGCAGTAGCCCAGTGAAACCCACATGACTCCCAGCCCAGTCAAAGTCACAGCTACTGTGCTGACCAGCAGAGTCCACAAGTGAGTCAGGGTTACACAAATCAGTCCCAGCCCAGTCCTTCAAATCTCAGCAGAGGACTAGACTAGCCGGTAGCTACACACGATAACACTCACTAATACTGGTAGAGACATGGAATTCTGCTGTATGGCAGTTGCTAGTAGCTTAAAACAGTATTTACACACAGTATTGTGATGTGAATAAAATGTCCACATTGTGTGAATATGGAGACAGGAAATGTTAGTTGCTAGCAGCACATAGTAGTGGAGCGATGTGAACTCGATGTTCACATTCTGTAGACCAAGGCGCCAGGCCAAAATGTTTCAATATTTTTGCATAGTATGTGCTTTTTTAGTTATTTTTTACCTATGTAGACATTACCTTGGCTTCGATTACAGCACTGCAAACACCTGGGTCGTAATTCACTGCACCAAACGGAAGAAAATGGATCAAAGTGGGGAAGGATTGCCTGAACGTTTTCACGTTGCATAATGTTTTGCTATGGTGTACAGTAATAAATACCACCAGGCTGGTTTTGCAGCAAGAAACAAATGTAGATAGAGTGCCTTCAGAAAGTATTCACTCTTTTACTTATTCCACATTTTGTTGTGTTACAGCTTGAATTAAAAAATGGATTCAATTGAGATTGTGTAACTGGCCTACACACAATAAATACCACATAATGTCGAAGTGGTATTATGTTTTTTGACATTTTTATAAATGAAAAAAAAAAACAATGAAAAGCTGAAATGTCTTGAAATCAATAAGTATTCAACCCCTTTGTTATGGCAAGCCTAAATTAGTTCAGGAGTATACATTTGTTTAACAAGTCACATAAGTTGCATGGACTGTGTGCAATAGTGTTTAACACATCTTTTTTTATGACTACCTCATCTCTGTATCACACACATACACTTATCTGTAAGGTCCCTCAGTTGAGCAGTGATTTTTTTAACACAGATCCAACCACAAAGACCAGGGTGGTTTTCCAATGCCTCACAAAGGGCACCTATTGGTAGATGGGTAAAAAAAAAAGCAGACGTTGAATAACCCTTTGAGCATGGTGAAGTTATTAATTACACTTTGGATGATGTATCAATACACCCAGTCACTACAAAGATACAGGCGTCCTTCCTAACTCAGTTGCCGGAGAGGAAGGAAACCGCTCAGGGATTTCACCATGAGGCCAATGGTGACTTTAAAACAGTTAAGAGTTTAACGTCTGTGATAGGAGAAAACTGAGGATGGATCAACACCATTGTAGTTACTCCACAATGCTAACCTAAATGACAGAGTGAAAAGAAGGAAGGCTGTACAGAATAAAAATATTCCAAAACATGCATCCTGTTTGTAATAAGGCACTAAAGTAAAACTGCAAAAAATGTGGCAAAGAAAGATCATTTATGTCCTGAATACGAAGCGTTATGTTTGGGGCAAATCCAACACAACACATCAGTGAGTACAACACTTCATATTTTCAAGCATGGTGGTGGCTGCATCATGTTATGGGTATACGTGTCATCTGCAAGGACTAGGGAGTTTTTTAGGATAAAAATAAACTGAATAGAGCTAAGCACAGGCAAAATCCTAGAGGAAAACCTGGTTCAGTCTGCTTTCCAACAGACACTGGGATTCAAATTCTTTCAGCAGGACATTACCTAAAACACAGTTGCTTACGAAGACGACATTGAATGTTCCTGAGTGGCCTAGTTACAGTTTTGACTTAAATCTACTTGAAAATATGTGGCAAGAGTTGAAAATGGCTGTCTAGCAATGATCAACAACCAACTTGACAGAGCTTGAAGAATTGTAAAAAGAAAATGTGCAACTATTTCACAATTCAGGTGTGCAAAGCTCTTAGAGACTTACCCAAAAAGACTCACAGCTGTAATCACTGCCAAAGGGGATTCTGACATGAATTGACTCAGGGATGTGAATACTTATGTAAATGAGATACTTCTGTACTTCATTTTCAAAATTTCTAAAAACATGTTTTCAGTTTGTCATTATCGGGTATTGTTTGTAAATGGGTGAACAAAAATATTTAATCAATTTTGAATTCACGCTGTAAGACAAAATGTGGAATAAGTCAAGCGGTATGAATACTTTCTGAAGGCACTGTTTATCAACATTCTTAGTGAGGTACAGTATGAGAAACATGATGATAATCAGGATGTACACAGTGTGTTAATGGTTTCTGAGAAGTGAACAATATGCCCACATTCCTACTGATAACACACATTCCTCTCTTCTCCTCCATCCAGGCTGTGGCATGCCCAATCCTGGTGTGTGTGTGTGTGTTATAGAGCCTCTCCCTAAACAATTAAATGCTTTGGGTGAATTGCAGTTTGTAAGCGACTGTATACTGTGGAAATGTACACAGAACCTTATGGGTAGAATGCATGTCTTTGTGTGTATACAGCAGGTTTTTCCAACGTGCCGTCTAGTTCCGCCAAAGCTCTATTGAGTGTGTTGTGTTTTGTGCGTCAGTGTGTGTGTGGACGAGTTTTTTAGTTTGTGTGTGTTGGTTTGTCTGTTAGTGTGTGTGTTTGTGTGTACACTGTCTGGTTCTGCTAGGCCTCTCTCATGAGTCAGAGCCATGCCCAGGACATGAGTCATCAGCATGAAGGAATGTTCGCTGGGACCCAACACTCCAACCACTGGGTATTTCCATGGAAAAGGACCCAACACTCCAACCACTGGGGATTTCCATGGAAAAGGACCCAACACTCCAACCACTGGGGATTTCCATGGAAAAGGACCCAACACTCCAACCACTGGGTATTTCCATGGAAAAGGACCCATGAGCACATCAAATTGGGTGTCAAATGAAAGCTAAGTGTCTATATTTTGGGGAAATGAAGGCATAGATACATTTTTCAACCATTTTCCATCTTAGGCTTTGATGTCAGGATAAACAGATGGAAAATGGATCTTAGAAAACATCTAGCAGAAAAAGTCTTAAAAAGGTATCAGAAATACATCAAAACACAATAATGTTGACGTTTTGGAGAAATTGTTTACCTTCTGTAAGTTTAAGAAATATTGCCTTGTTCAATATTATCTTTAAGATATTTTCTCATTTCGCTCGCTCATGAGGGAGGGAGGATAATTAAAGTTCACAGAAGTAACAAGTAATGGTAGACCTACCCATTAGTTAGTGATTTAACTGATATCACATGATTAAAACACGTAAATCCTGGAAAACCCCTCTCTCACTCGATCTGCCTCACTGTCCAGTTAACGTCAGCTCTCCCAGTTCTTACTGACACTTACCCATGAGCCCCCTTTCTTTCCATTGACTTTAACCAGCATCCTCACCCACTTAGCAACGACCGACACCGGATGTCCATGGACGTTGAAATTTGGTCAGTCCACCCTGGCCTTGATGTTAACAGATGGACTGGACCAAATCTGAACCTATAATAGAAGTATGTTTCACAAGTCTGGAAAGTACAGTGAGTAAAGCACAGTCTAATACAATACAGTAAATATAGTACAGTATAGTATATTGTACTGAACTGTACTCTACTGAACTGTACTCTATTGAACTGTACTCTAACCTACTCTGCTCTGCTGTATTGTACTGCACTGTGCTCTACTGTGATGTCCAAACGTATAAAACATGAGGATAATTACATAAATATCCATAATTATGCATTTCTGTGTAGTACAGATCAGGGACCCATTATGTAATTTAATTACCATAATTCCATTACCGGGTGTAAATCCACTTCACTTACTGTAGTTCAAAATTCAAGGTGCCATGTCATAGCTGACACCCGATTCTTTCAGCAGACATCTTTGAATCTTAATTCGGAGCAGATATTTAAAGAGGTTTTGGAAAAAGTGGTCGCATAAAAACCTGAGGGAGATCTTACCGTAATTCCGTTGCCAACTTTTGCATATACACAGTTCTTCCACTAAATTCATTTTTTGTAAATTGTTCAACTTTGAAATCAATGGTTTTTGTTTGGCATACATTTTAAAGTCAAAGCGTATTTCCGTTACCGTGGAATTGCCAACACTGTCCCCCCCCCCAAATGGCACCCTAATTCCTATTTAGTGCACTAATTTTGGCCAGGGCCCATAAGGCTCTTGTCAAAAATAATGCACTTATATAAATATATATATACACACACACACACACGGTGCCTTCAGAAAGTAGAGACCCCTTGACTTTTTCCACATTTTGTTACGTTACAGCCTCTAAAATTGATAAAATAAAAAATACAAACTCAGCAATCTACACAGAATACCCCATAATGACGAAGTGAAAACAGGTTTAGACATTTTTGCAAATCTATTAAAAATACAAAAAAACAGAAATACCTTATTTACATAAGTATTCAGACCCTTTGCTATGAAACTCGAAATTGAGTTCAGGTGCATCCTGTTTCCATTGATCATCCTTGAGATCTTTATACAACTTGATTGGAGTCCACCTGTGCTAAATTCAATTGATTGGACATGATTTGGAAAGGCACACACCTGTCTATATAAAAGGTCCAACAGTTGACAGTGCAATTTAGAGCAAAAACCAAGCCATGAGGTCGACGGAATTGTCCGTAGAGCTCAGAGA